CGATACCTACAAGCTGGCGAACACTAAATCTCTGTAGTTAAGCAATGTACTTCTTGAATCTTATCATTTAATAATAGTTAGTTCCAGAACATGATATAGCTGAATTAGAAGTAAAAGAACATCATTCAGATGCATTAGGAATCCAACCATAATTCTAAGACATGTTCATCGATCAAAACTTTTATTTCGTGCGATCAAGTCACGCTGTTGTTACGAAGCACTCTCAACACGGCCCGTGATCGACATTTTGGAATGCCTTTATCGGCACGAGAAAGCTATAAAAAATTCTTCATATTTAAAGAACATCATTTCGGTGCATTTGGAATTCTAGAACATCATTTCACAAAGAACGTTAAAACTTTTTTGTAAGGATTGTTTTTGAGACTCGCACCTTTGTGTTTGTCTATTTCGATAGCTTTTTCAAGTGATTTCAGCAATCGCCGGTAAAGACAAAATATTTCTTCAAGGCATCTGTTTACAGAATAGGTTTTGAAATTACGAACAGAAAGTTGAATAAACTCRATCTCGGAAGTAAATTAGACAGTGAGTCGAGGAATCCAAAGTGATACCTCGCTGTATTCCCGGGTGTGTTACAAACGCGATGCGTCACGTCAACGTATCATTTGTATTTAGATTACAGTAATATCCAGAGTAATATCATAGTTACATGTAACTACGATAATTCGGTATGCTCTTTTGATTTATTTTCCATTTTGTAGCTCTAGAATATCATTTTAATGTGAACTCTGAAATTCATCAGTAATGATTGTTTTTGAGACGCGGTTTGTGTTTCGCGTCACCAAGCGAAGACTTCAAACGCGGAGGAGTGTGTGACAACAACAGTGTAACGACTTGAATATGGCAAACTACCCGATTTATGTTAGCAATCTTTGCTTGCTTTCCGAAATAGTTATTAAAAACACACATGTTTCTCCTTCAAGAAAGTTTATATGAATAAGGAGGCTATTAAAGTAGAAGAAACGTTASGGATGAGTCAAAAACTTTASAMGYAAACTATAGTTGCCGTGACGACATACCCAGCAGTGAAAAGACTTGTAAAGTGAGAACGGAAAACTACCCGAATTTCGTAAGAAATCTTTGATCATTTACCAAAATATTTAGCAAAAACACACATGTTTCAAAAATACGAATAAGTCAAAAACTTCYTACGCCTAAGAACTATTAGATTACAAGTCTGCGTACTACAACTGCTGAAAACAACTCAATCGTTCGAAAACAACTCGTTCGTTCGAATACCACTTGTTCGTTCGTGCATAGTTAATGGTCGTGTCAAAGGTTTTAATTCTTTTGCAATGTTTTTCTTACTTTATTCACCAGCACTCTCTTTCTTTTGTGGTATATTTTCAGTGTCAAACTTTTTGGACATAGGTTTCAGAACTTATGCGTAAGTGTTCTTACGGCAACTACGGCGTACTAACTGGAATTACGAATCATTTATYGGTCTTACGAAATTTTGTCGTCAACTTTTTTCTTTTTCGTTATTTTTTGTCGTTCTTGGATTTATACTATGAAATATTGTTAAACTTCTTATTAAATAAGAGTTAATAGAGACTAGGGRCGTCATGGTTTATGCTGGGGGCGTCATGGTAGTACAGACTGGGGGCGTCATGGTATACGTGGGGGCGTTATGGCTGGGGGCGTCATGACAAGGGGGCGTCATGACCGTAAACCGTCAAAATGACCTGCAAGGCAAAGATTTGACTGGACAAGTTTCAGTTCTGGCCGGAAATTGTCTGATGTCTGGCCATTATTTTAAGCCCTGCTTATGCTATTTACCTCTAGTATGGATGATGGTACATAACCCACTGCAAAGAAAATGAAATTACTTGTCAGATAATTAAATATTAATATGTATCCTTAGTTTATTTAAGTAATTTTTCATATTATCAACTTTCCATCCTTTTCCTTTTCCTACCATCTAATTACCAATAATATGCCCATTTTCCTTCTTTTTTTCCATTTTGACTCCTTCATCTCTGAAACTTGGCCTACAAGCTATCTAAGTGAGCTCTTATTGATTCTTATTATTAAGTCATTCTTACCACGGATCCTCCCTTTTTAATTCCCATTTCATACTTTAGTCACCAGACAGTGTGGTTTCTATAATCTTTTCAACTAGACCTCTTTTGGGAGCACATATTTTTCACAGCTTGTCTTCTTTTTGACCATTCAAATTTTTGCCACTGAATCACTGGATTCTTACTAATATCTAGGTGCTCTTTTCATTACTGATGTTCATTTTAACACAACTTCAATTTCATAGGAGGGTAGAGTGTCATGTGACCTGCTTTTGAAAAATATACCATTTCATTGATAACTTACAGTGTCCTTGAGGATTTCTGACCAACCACTTCCCAGATGGACAATTTTCCTTGACAATAACTTCAAGGACTGTTCCAATGGAACATGGTAACTCCTTTCCAGTACCAGAAAAGCTTTCCTTTGCAGTTCCCTTGGCTATTATATCTTCGTTACCTTTGAGCTAAAACAACAAAGACTTAATCGTATCTCAGTAAACAGTTCTTACACAAGAGCATGAAAGGCATGGGCTGTTCTTGCCCTAAAATTCTAGCTCTCACCTCTATGTAGGTCATGCCTAGGGTGACAGGTTGGATAACTGACTGAGCCACATATGCATGTTGAGTTTGTTTGATGTATAGTTCTCTCCCTTGCAATGAGTCCCCTCTCCCCCCAAAAATCAAACTTAATGGAAGAACCCCTTACAGGTAGTGAAGGTTGTAAAATATCAGTTTTTTTCTCATTATACAGTATTTGTTTTGAAATACCATCATGACACAGGGGTGGATCCAGGATTTTGTTCAGGGAGGGGTGCTGTACACAAAGTTAACCCAGGGAGGGGTGCCAAGGGCAGATCCAGCCAAAACTTTAGGGGGGGATTAATTGAGTTTAGGGGGGCTAATTGAGTTTCTTCTGTCAACACAATGGAAAGCGATAAAAAAGTATCTAATTCTTCAGTTTTGTTTCGTTTCTTCCTGCTTCAGCCCCCCTTTGCCCCCCTGGATCCGCCCTTGGGTGCACCATTCCCCTGGATCTGCCTGTGACACTACCATAATGTACTCACCTTATGCGCTTTTTTCAAGTCCTTGTCAAACTTTTCTCTTTTACGTCTCTCTTCCTCTTCTCTCTTCTTTTTTTCTCGTTCTTGTTTTTCTTCCTCCTTTTTTCTCCTTTGCTCCTCCTTTTCTCTCTTTTTCTGTAATTCTTTTTCCTTTTTCTCTCTTTCTCTCTTTTCCTTTTCTTTCTTCTTGATGTCTTCTTCTTTATTACTATAGAAAACAAAATTTAAGTCTCAATAAATATAACTTTTTTAAAAATAAAAAAGATTACTGTAAAGTAGTTGTAGGAAAAAATTTTTGAGAACAAAAAGTTTGACGATAAGAAAGAAGTTTGGTCTGGAAATGACTGACTTTGTTGGCATTTTTTGTCGCTTTTGTCATTACTAAATTCAATGTTATATGTTATTTAAAGTCATCAAAACCAAAGGTAGAGCAACTCATTCATACATCAAAACATAACTTACTATGTGTTAAGGGAGAATTCATTTTTTTAGGAGGGGGAGGGGGAGGGGGCTAGAGGAATTAAGGGAGGGGGATACATCAAATACTTACAAGTGAAAAAAGGGGAGTCGGTGATTTTTTTCTGGTAATAATCTTGCATTTTTTCAATTTTTTTTTAGTTAGTTGCCGCTAACTTAAGAGATGAGAGTATGTGGACTGCGTGGCACTAATGAAATAGTAGAAGATAATATAGGTAAGTTGTAGTGCTTGGGAACGAGGTTATTCCGGGCGAAAGCCCTTGGAATTAAATTCGGAAAAAATAAGGTCGGAAATTAATTTTTCCGAATTTAATTCCAAGGGCTTTCGCCCGGAATAACCTCGTTCCCAAGCACTACAACTTACCTATATTATCTTCTGCTAACTTAAGAGAGATCAGTGAAACCTGTCATTTTGGCACTGTTTTAGAAGAAATGCTTCGAGATCGACTGGTCATGGGGATAAATGACGACACGATACAAAAACGGCTACTTTCTGTAGAGTATGAGAAGTTAACTTTCACCAAGGCTTTTGAGATCGCCACTAGCATTGAAYTTGCCACTTYAGGTGCCAAAAATATCCAACAGCAAGCCTCTTCACCAGCTCCTGCGGATGTCAACAAATTAGGGACGAAAGAGTTTCCTAAAACGAAGAAAACCTGTTATCGCTGTGGTGAAAGACATAACCAGGAACAYTGCCCTTTCAAAGATAAGAGTTGTTTCCACTGTGGCAAGGAGGGCCATATTTCAAGGGTTTGCAAGTCAAAACAAAGATCAGAGCAAACCTCATATGCATCAAGTAAAGTAAACCAAGTGACAGCAGATGAACAAGAGGAACCTGATCAAAGCTACRATATGTTCACTATCAACGGTAATAACTCAGCCTACAAAACCATGTTGTCCGTTGATGGCCACAACATAGAGATGGAAGTTGACACTGGTTCAGCGGTAACGTTGATTGCAAACAACATGTTTAGAAGGATTTTCGRTGAAAAGAAACTGGAGAAAACCAAGGCACAACTACGTACSTACACGGGAGAAGATGTGAAAGTTTTAGGTACCACTACTGTTCTGGTGAAACACCACGATAAGTCATTCAACTTACCTCTGCTTGTCGTAGACGGACAAGGRCCCAGTCTTCTTGGACGAAATTGGCTTGAACAGTTGCAATTGAGTTGGTTAAAYATAAATCAAGTYACTGAATCACCAGACACGGTTCAGGAACTCAYATGCAAATATCCAGATCTTTGGAAACCAGACCTAGGACAAGTCAAAGGACTTAAAGCAAAAATTAACGTCCCAGAGAATGCGACACCTAAGTTTTTWAAAACACGTCMGGTTCCATATGCCATCAGAGATAAAGTTGATGAAGAGTTGCAGAGATTGGAAAAARAAGGAGTGATCGAACCAGTACAGTTTGCGGAATGGGCAGCTCCAGTTGTACCTGTACAAAAAACCAATGGCCAAATTCGTCTGTGTGGTGATTACAGACTCACCATTAACTGTGACATTCACACTGACCAGTACCCTTTACCAAGGATAGAGGATCTCTACGCTAAATTATCAGGTGGTCAAAAGTTCACAAAACTTGACCTCAGCAGTGCTTTCTTGCAGGTTCCACTTGAAGTAGATTCACGAAAGTACACTACAATTAACACACAAAGAGGCCTTTACCAGTACACTAGACTTCCTTTTGGAATCTCTTCATCATCCTCCATTTTCCAATGCATCGTTGACAACTTGATCCAAGGATTAGCAGGAACCGTTGGTTATCAAGACGACATACTAGTGACAGGCAAGGATAATGAAGAGCACATCACCAACCTGGATGCAGTACTTCAGAGGCTATCCAGTGCTGGTCTGCGGCTAAACAAGGACAAGTGTGTCTTCATGGCGGCTGAGGTAACTTACCTTGGATACAGAATCGATGAAAAGGGATTACATCCAATTAAAGAAAAAGTACGTGCCATTGTGGATGCCCCTGCTCCCACCAATGTTACTGAGCTTAGGAGTTATTTGGGACTCCTTAACTACTATGGAAGGTTYKTGCCAAACCTGTYTTCATTACTAGCACCAATGCATGAGCTCCTGCAAAMGAACACCAACTTTAAATGGGGCAAACCACAACAAGATGCATTTGAAGAGTCAAAACAACTCCTCAAACACTCAGGCTTTCTCGTTCACTTTGACGCAACAAAGGAGATCATCCTCTCTTGTGATGCCAGCCCAAAGGGGATTGGAGCAGTGATATCAYACATTATCGACGGGGTAGAAAGGCCGATAAGCTGTGCYTCTCGTTCGCTAACCACTGCTGAAAGGGGATATTCTCAGCTTGAAAAGGAGGCGCTTGCAGTAGTGTGGGGAGTCAAAAAGTTCCACAACTACCTTTACGGTCGACACTTCATCATCAACAATGACCACAGACCCCTGGAAACACTTTTCGGAGGACGCAAGTCATTGTCTACCATGGCTTCTGGGCGTATTCTCCGCTGGTCTCTGACCCTTTCAGCATATGATTACCAATTCAAGTACAAGCCAGGTACTCAGATAGCCCATGCTGATGCTCTCAGTCGCCTTCCTTTATCAGATGTTCCAGCAAYTGTTCCATTGCCTGCMGACACTGTACATCTTTTGAATTTCCTTTCTTCTGTACCAATAACTCCCAAGTTGATTGCAGACCAGTCTGCCTGTGATCCTGTCCTGTCAAAGGTTCTTCGTCATTTGGAAATGGGTTGGCCTGACACAGTTGAAGATGACTTGCGCCCCTATCTTAGTCGCAAAAATGAACTGAGTTTGGAACAAGGATGTATCCTCTGGGGTACAAGAGTTGTAGTCCCAATGAACTTGAGACCTGAAGTTTTACGAATGCTCCATGAAGGCCATGTTGGCATTGTGAAAACTAAGTCCTTTGCCAGAAGATATGTCTACTGGCCAGGCATTGACCAGGACATAGAACAAACTGTGCAGACTTGCTCAACATGTCAGAGCACCAGACCGTCTCCAGGCCCAGCACCCTTGCACCTTTGGGAGTTTCCAAATCGTCCTTGGAGCTGTGTCCATGTTGACTACGCAGGCCCCCTACCAGGCAACAAGATGGTCCTAGTGATAATTGACGCCCACTCTAAATGGATTGATGCGCATGTCACTGGAACTGCTACCTCATCAGCTACAATTGAGAAATTGAGAATCTCATTTTCCACGTATGGTCTTCCTGACACAGTAGTGTCAGATAATGGTACATGTTTTACAAGCAAGGAGTTTAAAGMTTTCATGGAACAGAATGGAGTCAAACATATAACGGTTGCACCCTACCACCCGTCATCCAATGGTCTTGCCGAGAAAGCTGTCAATATAGTAAAGGATGGACTTAAACACTCTGAGGGAGTTTTAGAAACCAAGTTAATGCGGGTGTTGTTCAAATACCGCACTACGCCACACACCACYACTRGTGAGACGCCTTCAAAGCTTTTGATGGGTCGTGAATTAAAGACACCCCTTGATAACCTGCGTCCAAGTCTGCACAGCAAAGTAGAAACTCAGCAACAGAAACAGAAATCRCAGCATGACAAGACAGCTGTTCAAAGAAGTTTTGCTGTAGGAGATMTTGTCTATKCARGAAATTYCGGAAGAGRTGAAGCATGGTTACCAGGCCTTCTTGTGGCACAGACAGGTCCAGTGTCATTCATTGTTGAGTTATTGCAGGGTGGCTTGGTGAGGAAGCACCAAGACCAGGTTCGTAGGCGTTCTGCCAACCAAAGTATTCTGAAGSAAACACCCATTGTTCCGCAGCTGCAGGAGACACAGCTGCCTGATGTAATGTTGCATGTTCCAGCACCCAGAGACACCCCAGTTATGTCCAATACAGAGGCGATCTGTTCACCTACAGCTGCGACCTCCACAAGTATCCCTGCAAATACACCCACAAGTACTCCCACAAGTGCTCCGAACAATGCTCCAATTTGGGAACATGGGTCACCGTTGTGTCCATCTCCTGCACCAGTCAGAAGATCACAGAGGGCACCCAAGCCTCGTGTTATGTTGGACTTATAGACACTGTTCTTTACACATACATTTGTTTTGTGTTTTTTGAAAGACCTTGTTGGGGGGATATGTTGTGTATTGGGCCCCCTGTGTTTAAAATGTACTAGCGTGCTTTGCGCGCCGTACAGTCAGAATAAAACATGGCGGACAAAGCCACGAGGTYTACACTTGTTTGTGTTAGTTCTTGTTAAATACAGGTCATTAGGTATTAGGGAAAATTTATAAAATTTCAAAACATACATGTATACTAACAGCTATTCCTCTCGACCCCTCTCCCTTCTAAAAAATGAATGTTCCCTAAGTCTAAAAGAAAAGTCCACCTGCATGCAGGCTAAAAGAGGATATGAAGAAGTTGTTATTCATACCTTAGGTGAGCAGAGGGGGGTGGTACTTCTGTTTGTTCGACTCTTTCATTTTCATTTTCCTCTTCAATGTCATTAGCCTGGTCATCATCATTCAATGCTTCAACTCCCTCATAAAGATCTTCACCATATTCTTTTTCCTCTTGGAATGAAGTCCCATCTTCCGTGATTCTATATCAAAAATAAAATAATGATCATTCGTAATTATATGCACGAGTCAAACAAGCTATTTTACTGATCTTCTAACATATTACTGCTATTTTCAAAAAAATGTGAACTCGGTAGCCGCATGCTAATTTTTTTTGCTGTCACCAATTTAAACTAATCAGCTAGTACCTTTCATATTTTCGACTGGCAGCAGTGAAAAACCAAATTCCAATGGGCAAATCGAAACTATAGAATTTGCATGTTTATGAAAAAAGCAGTTTATATATGAACACTTTGTTCAAGCATCATCAATTATTTATAGTCATCCCAATTTATTATCTTTATCCATTCATTCATTGATCCATTTAACTATTCATTTTCCAATCCATCTATTCCTCCCTCCCTCTCTTCATATAATTCTACCAATCTACCAATCCATTCATTCCAAAATCTATCCATCTATCAATTTATTCATCTATCCATTCATTCATTCATCCACTTACCCACCCACCCATATCATCCATACAACCATCTCTCCATCCATTCAACCCCATCATTCGCTTATTTATTCAACCATTCATTACTCAATCATCCATCCATCAACTTATTCATCTAACCATAATCCATTCACTTATTTAACCCTTCATTAATTTATCCTATCCRATTCCAATCAAATATTAATTTTTTTATAATATTGATACTTAATCCTCTAATAACTATATCATTACCAGTTGCAGAAATAAAAAAAAACAGCAAACAGATATTGGTAGTACTTACATATCAGATCGTATTGGAGCTGGAGGTGGCTTTGCACCTTGACCTTTAATGAAGAGATATAAATAGAAATGGGTGAGTGTAAATGAAATATTTTGAATAAATTAATACTAACCATAGATTTAGGTGCATGTAATAATAAGTGGTAGAGTGGGTAGATGGATGGATTAATGGAAGAAAGAATTGGAGAAGCATGGTGGTTGTGGTGGTGAGAGCACTCGCTTCTCACCAGTGCGACCTGGGTTTGATCTAGAAAGGGCCTAGATGAAAATTACTGCGTGTCAATCTAGTAACCCTACCAAATTGTGTAGTTTTTTTGAAGATAAGAAGAAAGGGAGAGAGCGAAAGAAGGAGGGAGGGAGAAGAAAGGGAAGGCATAAATAGAAGGATACTTAATTTAATTAAATAAGCAAGCAAGCTGGATTAGAATAATCATAATACGAGTTCAGAACTATGTAGATAACAGTTTCCATCTATAAATAAATAAGGAAATGAATAAATCATAGATCATTGAATCATAAAAATAAATACCCTTAAGCTCAGCCTTAACTGTCTCAGCCAGCTGCTCTACATCATCATACATGTCCTCATCAATCGGTTCTGGTTCGGTAGGCGGAGTAGGCTGTGGGCGATAAGATACCTGAGGAGTGTCCTCTGCACTGCAAATATCATCATATATATCTTCTCCTTCTTCTTCCTCAATGCTTTCATCTAAAAAAATATGGGAGAATATAGAATGTTAGTAGGAAGTCTTTGAATAACTACAAGAACCATGAAGTACGTTCCCTATAAATGTAGGGGCATTAGATCGGGAAAAAATAGCAGACTGTATACATGAAACTAAACATGAAGTGTTAACATAACGGATGCAGACAGTGGTGACTTTAAACCTCCTTCCCTCCCCCCCTCCCCCCAAGTCACCCCTCTTCAATTCCCATTCCTGGAAAAAGTTTCAAGTCATCATGTAAAAATGAATATCTTTATTTTTTTAAGGATTTTTTTTTTGAATTCAAGATTAAATTTATTTTGTAACTTTTTGAGAAAGGTAATGTTTTTGTTTGCTTAAATTTGATATCAGATATATGTTAATGTTCAATGACTGCTGAAACTGTTCAATGAAAAATTATGTGCTGGATTAACCACATTATTTAAATTATTCAGAATAAATTAACTTTATTTGGCAATTTTTGAAATTCAGTACCAGATTTATTGGCAACACTATTATTTTTTAATGTCTTATTTCTTATTTGTATCCCAAATTTTCCCAGATTACTGTATTCACATTGCCACATTATCATTGCATGAATTAATAAATTAATGTTATCCATTTTTAACCCCAAAGTTCAAGTCATCTATACTATCATACAATTTTCAGTACTCTTTAGAGTTTTTCATGGAATATACTTGAAATGAAATTCTTGCCGATTGGCTGGCTACCATGTTTATATCAGAGAACAGACACATCACACAAAATTATTCAAAAATGTTTTATAAAAGCAATTTAGATAATTCATGATGGAAACACAATAGAAATCATGACCATGAAGGAGGTTTTATATCTGATATAGATTTGTCTTCATTTGCATAAACTTTAACTTGGATTTTCTCTATCAAACTTGGTTCATTTCGTAAAGAATTCAGTACAATATGAGAACATACATCATGAGTTTTTTAAGCCGTTTAATAAACTCGCAGATCGTGTTTTATCAGGTCTTAAAGCCATTCAGCTGCGCCTGATAAAACACTCCTGCTTGTATATTTAACAGTACATAAAACACTGCTTACGTCCTTGTATAATTGCAATATGACCCCTCTTGGAGCTACAGTAAAGCACTACAGTGTATGCCTCATGTTCCTATGCAAGTTTCTCTAATGCTCATCAGCTCCCAATATGTCTTCATCACAGTACAAAGACATGCATACGACATTTTAAAATGATTTTTAAATTAAAGTTTACTTGCCTCCTTTTCTTCCATTTTCTACTGCTTCAGCTACAGGTTGAACCTTTGGTGCTATAATTACTTTATGGTTTTTGTATTGTTTTTGTACCTTCATAGCCAAGATAAGTGGCTTTGTTGGTTTAGGTGGTGGTATCTTTCCTATACTCTTTAGCGATGGTAAAGGCTTCATCTTAGGGATTCCAGACCCTTGGACAATATTACTATTATCATCTCTACTATCTCCACTTTGAGGCCGAGGGAAAGATTCACTGCGAGCTTTTTTAAAGTCTCTTTCCTCTTCAGACCCTGTACTGGAATTTCTAAGTTTAGGCTTTGGCATCACTCTCGGCAAAGATGAATGCTTCTCAGGTGCTTCTTCCTGATGGTCGAACATTGCTAGGTGCTTTTTAAAGATTGAATTATGTTCTGGGTTGTTTTCTTTCCCATCTTGGTGAATAAAAGCCATACCGGTACTGTCTTCTTCAATCAAGCTCTCTCGCTTTCCGGTTTTTTTAAGCTTGATAGCACTTAAATTAATCGCTCCAGCCTGATCAGACCCTACACCGGACCCTACAGGGACTCTCGGAGCTGGTGCTCGTTTTAAATGCTTTAACGTGTTTGACAGTTCTTGTTGTGATAATGCCATTATTGGATGATAATCATATGCCCTTCAAAACGAAACATAACACTGTCAGTAACGTCTAATAACAATTAACTTGAATTATTGATTAAATAATGAATTGAACAGGTTTTATTAAACAATAGTGAACAACATAAAAAAGTATCAAGATACAGCACTGAAGTAGTGAATTTTTTATTAGAATTTTCTTTTTAGGAGAACGTTATGATTGTAATAATCGATTATGTATCGACATAATCCTTGCTCATAACTATGAATAAATTAACAAAGACTTTTAATTTCTGTCTAACCACATTTTAACTCGATCCAACCACAAGCAAATACAAGGGAAAGACCCTCATTTTATAAACACCAGGACAAGTCTTTTTTGTGTATATCAAAGCTATCATACTAAGACGATATGTTTTTTATCCCGGAAGTATTTACATAGGACGGACCTTCAGCTGTAATTTTCTTGGATAATTATTCATAAATACTAATGAAATTCCTAACAGAAATGAATATAATTCGGTTTTCTGGATGATTCAGTCACACTAGGAGCAGCAAGCGGTGACAATATTTCTTAAAACAATAACAAATCATTAGAGGGTTAGGCGCTAGTCGTATTAGCAGTATCAAATATATCAGTGCTGACGAGGTCTAGGAGAAGTCATTAGCGAGTTTCAAAACATTTCATCTGTAAATCTAAGAGATTTTGATGATGATGATGATTCTAACTGCCTTAATATCAGTTGAAACTTCATTCGGACAATCTCATAACGTCCATTGGAATTTGCTATAAGAGGGTTAAGATTGGATTTGGAACGGCTAATGCTGTATTTGTCTCGACATGTTTTAGTGCTCCACAAACATTTGCAAATATCCCCTCCAAGAGTAAAACCACACAGAATTCTGCGTACTTACCGATTGACTAAGAATCGAATAGTTCGTTTTTATGCAGTCAAAGCTTTCATTTTGTCGTTCGAACAGTTTTTAAATGTTTTTGCTGAGTTATTGCAACTCCATCGGCATTAGTTAGTCGGAACTGATGCTTGACAGGAAATCGTTCGCAAGAACTGATATGTTCCTTGTTGATATTTTATCGAGCGCGTTGATTGGATAATACCAACAGGGTCGTTTTATGGCATTATGTGATATATAGTACAATGAATCTTATTGGTCAATTTATAAAGAACAAAATATCTCAGAAAAATATCAGGTGAAAAATATATCAATAGTAATAAATCATAATCGGCAAAATTACCAATCATTACACAGGGAACCCAATTACAAATTCAGGTAAGTGGTTAAGAGAATAGTAAAAGAATGGGTTAGTTGAAAGCAAGGCGTTCATTAATCCCGTTGGGACTAAGAGTGCCCAATAAGTGAATAAGGAGCATTTCTTTGGTCTTGCAACAATCATTGTTGCCGTCAATCAAAGGAAGACCAAAAACAATGAGAGAATAGGTTACAGTATTTGAGGGGGAATGGGCTACCGACTGGTTTTGTGGACTAAGGTTGCAAAAACACCAGACTGCATCTTATGTTTCTAGAACAACCACAGCTTTTAGATATAGCTGTGTCTTTGGCTTGAAATCATTCAAAAAACTATTAATCAGGGGCATAGGGAGGTATTTGCCTCATACACATGTTTACACATTTTATCTTTAGAGTCCCCCCCCCCCCCCCCCCCCTGCAGTGATAATGATTTTTGCAATATGCTTCAATATACTAGCAGTTTTAAATTGAAAGTGATAT